AGAGGGAGAGGGAAAGAGAGGGAGAGGGAAAGAGAGGGAGAGGGAAAGAGAGGGAGAGGGAAAGAGAGGGAGAGTGAAAGAGAGGGAGAGGGAAAGAGAGGGAGAGGGAAAGAGAGGGAGGGGGAAAGAGAGGGAGGGGGAAAGAGAGGGAGAGGGAAAGAGAGAGAGAGAAAGAGAGAGAAAGGGAAAAATTTTCACGGAGTAAAAACTTCTGAGTTCATGATACAATGAACACAAAAAACAAAAACAAACAAAAAATAAGACGTACCAGCAGCGGAGGCATTGACAGTGAAGTTGTTCTGTCGGTTGAGGTGAGCCTTCTTCAATCCTAGACCTTTGCTGGTTACTTTGGAGGCGTCAGAGGTAAACCTTTGGAGGGAAAATGAGGCAATTAGAATCCCTTTCTTTGGTTTAGAGAAAAATTCTTGAAATAAACAATGCCTGAAATCTTATTAATAAGACAATTAAGACGTATTGAAATGAGGAAAAAATATTGGCTGAAATAAACAATTCCTGAAATATTTATAAAAAACAATTGACAAAAAAAGACAAAATGAATAAAAAGCTATTGGCTGAATAGGAGAAAAACTACAACACTAAACATAGAATCCATGAAAGCAAGAGAAAAAGAGAGAGATAAATGAAGAGACAATGACAGAGACGGAGAAAATCTTCACCTAGGGATGATGGGTCCACCATGGCCATGCTTGTCTGACTTCTGCTTCTCTACCGTCTCTACTACTACTGATGAGGACTCCTGCACGCCCTTCTCCGCTACAGCCTCGCCTGAGCACTTAACCTGCGGGGATTTTATGTGTGAGGGGACTTGGGTGGTGGCTTTAGGCGAGTTTTTGTTTCAGATCGGAAACTGGGTTATTGTGTTTGTTCAAGTATATGTACATGGATAAACTTAAACATTCAAATATGTATGTATAATTGAACATACATGTTCTCATATAAACACACGCAGAAACACTCACACTCACACACACACACACACACACACAGACACACACACACACACACAGACACACACACACACACACACAGACACACACACACACAGACACACACACACACACACACCTCCCCTCTGCCATCCCCCCTCACCGTCACCCCCCTCCTCCCTTCTCACCTTAAATGGAGACCCAACGATGTGATATCCATTGAATTTAACGGCAATATAGTAGTCTCCGGGTACAAGGGGCGTGTACCTGACCTTGTATCCCTCCTCAACCTCCGTGCAGTCCATAGACACCTTGGAAGGACCATCTATGGTGACTGCCAACGTGCCCGCACCGGCGTTGCAAGTGTCCACGATGAAGTCGGATTTGTGGCCTGAGGGGAGAGGGTGGTAGGTTAAGGCTGGGTTTCGTGGTAGTTGTGGTTCGGTTTAATGGTGGATATGGTTCAGTTTAATGGTGGTTCTGGTTTGGTTTAATGGTGGTTGTGTCTCATTTCAATGGTGGATATGGTTATTCAATGGTGGTTGTGGTTTGGTTTAATGGTGGTTATGTCTCCTTTCAATGATGGATATGGTTTAGTGCAATAGTGGATATGGTTCAGTTTAATGGTGGTTATGGTTGATGGTGGTTTAAGAAGGGGCAAAAAAGGGGAGAAATGGATTTTATTTCATTATCTTTATCAGAGTTTAAGGAGTGGCATGTGGGAGTAGGACTGTGGTTTACATTACTATCTGGGTGATTTGTGAGAAAAATCAACAACGAAACGGTTAATGGGATATGAATGTTTATTATATGAAAAATAAAATGATATGAAAATGATAAGGAAAAAATATATGAAAAAAATTGTGGGTGAGTGAGATGAATAGGGGCTTAATTCTTTTTTTTTTCTTTTTTTTTCTCTTTTCTGGAATGTTCGAGGTTGG